CGTCAACCATCGCTTGGGTACGCTCGAGGAACTCGTCGAACTGATCTTTTATCGCGCCTTTCACGGACTGCATAATAATTCCGGCAATTTTTGCACACAGCACAAAGTCGTTTGAATTAAGCAGATTGCTAACACCTCCCTCCTTTGTGTCTGATCCCAAAATCCCGTCAACGGCAGCCGCAGGCCTAGGCCGACGGGAGACGCCGCGGCCACGGAGCGCAACACCCGCATGCGCGCCGATGACGTCTGATTCGTTCGGCGAAGCTGTCGATGCGGAACCAGCAGGAAGTCCCGACGGCGCAGGGGAGCTTGTGGCCGGGGTAGACAAGGACCGGCGCGAAGGCGAGTGACCCGCGAGGCGGATAAGCGCCGAGCCGTTTGCGCACGACCAGGAGACGCCGCAGGGCCATCGAGCAGCGACGTTACCGCCATGGCGGGAGTAGGAGATGCCACACCTGGGGTTGGTGGGCGTCGCATAGGGGTTAACAGCGGACTCGTTTGTTTACCGGTACTGCCTTGTTTTCTTCAAGCATGCGTGGTTGTACTCGTGTGAGCAATGAGACTCTTTAAAAACGGGAAACACAAGTAAATCAATACTGTTAAACGGACTTACCAGCAGTTGTGGCAGCCACGAGCGGAATCACGGAGCGGACGTTGGTCACGCGGTGGATCATCTTGATGCTGGTGCTGCTGCGGCTGCTGCTGCTGCTCCTCCACCTCAGGTTCTTCCCCATCCTCAGTCACTCCAGAGATCTCCTCCTCTGAGACAGTGACCTGCACTTGCCTCGAAGGCCGCTGCACCTCATCGGCCTCAATGATCAGCGGTGTAGTAGGAAGCTTCTGCTGCTGCTGCTTCCACTCCTTGTAGTACAAGGACTCGAGGAATTTCACATCCCTTGAGACAGTCAGCTGCTGGCTGGTCAAGTCCCATATCAACCAGCCCTTGTGATCCTTAGCAAGTCCCAAATGCACACCCCATCTCCCAGAAGCTTCCAGCTTTCCCCTCTTCTCCTTCGGCACATGAAACACCACCATGCACCCGTAGGCTCTCAGCATGTTGACTGCAGGTGCACTCCCATACCACTTGGTGTAGGGGATCCACTGCTTGTCCCCCACAGTCGCGAGCACCCTGTTCTTCATCACAACCAACTGCCGTAGTCCAGTCACCCAAAACGGATCCGGCAGCCCTGCACGCCCAAGTAGAGTGCGGGCACCTTCCTGCAGGGTCCGGTTGAACCGCTCAGCCACACCATTCTGTTGAGGGTTATAGGGCACTGTACGCTGATGCTGAATCCCCTTCTTCTTCAGCACCGCCTCAAAATCAGCGCCAATGAACTCTCCCCCGTTGTCAGTGCGGATCACCTTCACTTTGTGTCCGCTCTCCCTTTGAGCTCTCGGCATCCACTCCTTGAGAACAGCCGCTGCCACGTCCCCCTTAGTCTTGAGAGGGTAGACCCACACCGCACGCGTGTGGTCGTCCACAATGGTCAGGAAATAGCGGCTGCCTGAGAGCGAAGTGGCCCTCGTGGGGCCCACCACATCCATGTGCACAAGCGCAAGTGGTGCCTTGGCTGGTCCCGTGCTGCTGCTGAAGGGAAACTTCGTGAACTTGGTCTCAAGGCATGTTGGGCAGCTCCCAATCTCCTTCGCTGCCCCCTTCACCTCCAGTCCCTTCAAGCTCCCATCCTTCACCAACTTCTGCAGCATCGGAATGTTGATGTGGCACAACCTCTCGTGCCACGTCTCCCAATCGGCCTCACCACTCCCAGACGAAGCCTTTGCCCATGCAGCTGTTGCATCCACACCAGCAAGCACCTCACCATGAGGTTGCTGTGGTTGCTGCGCCTTCTTCTTGACTGCATCCAGGACCCCAGCAGTTGGTGCAGTCTCCTCTCCTCCCGCAATAGCCTTAGCCGCTGCCGCTGCCTTCGCCGTTGCTGGTGGTTTCCCGTTCCAAGGGATGATGGGCAGCTGCCACAGGTCCTTGATGCAGCTGCTCTTCTCCTCCAAATCCCACAGCAGCAACTTCCCAAGCTTCGCACGGCAGCTCGTTGGGCCGAACGTAACTTTGGCCTTACTCTTCTGCAGCCGGCGCACAGAGAGGAGGTTAGCGGACATTCCCAAGTCCTACAAGGCCCCCATTGGCTCCCATCACCTTGGCATTTCCAACACCAATCACAGGGAGCAAAGCACCTGAAGCGGCAGCCACAAACTTAATTTTCCCGGGGGGCTTCACCTCATCGAGCAAATCTGCCCGCGGAGTCATGTGACTCGTGCAACCTGAATCGATCACCCAGTGAGTGAGGGGGTGCATCACAACCTTCCCAACTGAACCCACATCATCCTCACTCCCTTTCACTTCCTCAACCATGAGGAACAGCCCAGGGTCAGCTTTACCTTGTGCACCATCACCTTGTGCACCTGAACCTTGCACAGCGCCACCTCGTGCACGTTCACCACTTGGCGGCTTCATGCCTGGAGGCGCCCATCCCTCAGGCCGGCTGAAACACTTGAACCACGGGTGTCCAGCCTTCTTGCAGTACCAGCATGCACCCTCCATTCGGGTGCTCCCCCTGCCACCAGAGCTCCCATGCCCTTCGTTGTAGTCACCTCGGCCTCTTCCTCTGCCAAAGCCTCTCCCACGGCCTCGGCCTCTCCCTCCCCCTCTTCCTCTGCTGCCTCCTGCAGCTCCGTACCCCTCAGCAGTTTTGTTGGCAGCACCACCTCCTGTGTGGCGCCTGCGGAAGTCCTCCTGCAGGATCTGCTGCCGTAGCCACTCAGGCGTCCATTTGTCGTGTTGAACGTTGAGGGTGGGGATGAGGTTGTCCCACGAGTTGTCGAGCACCGAGATGATCTTGGTGCACTGCTGCATCTCCGACACCTTGCTGCCCGCCGCTGCCATCCTCGCATAGGTGTCCTTGATCTTGTCAAGGACCGGCTTCACGTCGTCTCCCGGCTTCATGGAGAGGGCAGCCAGCTCCTTCTCCAACACAATCACCATCGGCAGCGTGTTAGGCTGAACCACATCGCGCAGCAGTTTCCACGCCTTCGGCCCCGAGTCGTCCAGCTCCACTAAGTCCTTGATGTGCTGGAACATATCATTGTTGACCGATTGGACGATGAGGTCGTACAGCACCGCGCTCTTCTCAATCCACCGATCGCGGGCATCTCCTTCCTCGGGTATCTTCTCCTCTCCCATCGCAATCTTCAGCAGCTTGTAGCGCTTGAAAGCGCTCCGCATCCGCCCGCTCCATTCCTCATAAGCCATCCAATGCTTCAATCTTGGATGGTGGTGGCTCACTCTTCTTCTCAGCTGCTTCTCCACTCATCTCCTCTGCTCCCAATCAGAGGTTTCAGCTCCCCCCTTTGCTGTCCACAATGTAGATCCACAAGATCTTCACAAGTGTCGGCACCAACGAAATTTCGGCAGAGTTTCCCCTTAGCGGAAGTCACTTGCAACCTCTAGAACACCACTTAGGCACGCCCACAGGCCATGGTGGGTCTAAGAGGGTCTTCACACTTCAGTAGACTCCCCAAAAAGTCCTCAATCAGCTCTGATACCACTTGTTAAAGACTAAGGACGAAGTCTATGTAGAATAGGTGCCGCAATATCTCAAAATCGTTGGCTCTAGTTTCTAGACAGAAACCGCGATTTCACAAGAAACGTCGTCGACGAAAAGTGCACTGTTAGAATCGTCTCAACCTCGAGTATGTTATAGCCCTTGACCGTGGCTATCATTCCCAATTTGAATCGTATCAAAAGGTGGAGTAAATCTCGAGTTATGATTTTCGGCGCACTAGGGGGTAAGCTGCCACAAGCTTAACTCAATCACAATAGTTCTCACAAGTTCCAAGAGTTACATACAAGAGAGCTAGAGTAGCACTAAACCAGGTAGGAGGGAAGAGGAGGACGAGAGGGAAGGTCCCAAGGGAGTCCCCAACCAAGGAAACCCCATATCACATCAAATCCCCTCCCTATGGCAACCCCACTTTGACATTTGTCACTTTCCAACCCATGCCATCCACCTCAACCCACTTGGCCACACTTGCCAACCTGGTTTGGCTTCACCCAACCACATGGCAGCAATCTACAGTGATGGGTTCGAATTTCCCAACCCCAAAAATTTGTACCCCATATTGAGTCACCCAACAAAATCCCAAAGTCGCCGCAACCAAAGTATAGAAAGCATACGAACTCCAATGTTCGTAACTTTCTTGATATTGCTCCAATCGCGACGATTCTTGGCTCGTCGGAAAGCTCTCGAGCAGATGAGTCACTTCAGATATCTGCCCAAGCCAAATACCATTCACACACACTCAGGAAATCCAAACCGCGCATATCACAAATTCTTGCACACGCTCACACCACGCATGCAAAGCACAAAACATTTGATGGGAGGCAGACAGACGTGAATGCGAATGATAACATCGCACAACAGTGCCATCAACCTTGTGCGCCTCGAGTTACATCCAACTAGACCTCCAGCACAGCTGTGCGCTCCGTGTGTTCTGGGGTACAAATAGCCCCCGTGGCGCCACAGATATTTGTCAACCTCTGACAATGACGCTTCTCCAGCTCGTTCGTTTCCTCGGCATAGTATGGCAGGGATACCTGCAGATGGTCATGCTGCCAGTGCTCAACGCGGTTGGTACGGCTCTTCCCACTATCGTCTCTGCTGTCACCCTCAAGCAGTCCCGTGTCTTCGTACGTGGCGATCGACTCGACGCACGTGTGCACTGGTTTCGGCTGATAACGTCCCTTCTCGAACTCAATTTCTATGAGTACTTACGTGTTGACAAACGCGTTTTCGTCTATTTGGTGCGGCAGTACCAACGCCGTCGTTTTGCCACGCTTAAACATCATGTGCACAATTTCGTCTTCGTTGCCATGGGATTCAGCAGGCTTGGTCACGACCTTACATTTCGTGAAATTGGTCTACACTTCGGCTACACCTGCTCTCACTCGCACAAACTTTTCACGAGGTTCATCAACTTTGTGAATGCCCAAGTGGGTGTGTTGGCCCGACTTGGACATGATGCAGTTGTTTGAAGCTGAGTTTCGCACACGTGGTGGTATTCCTGGTGTGGTAGGCGCCATGGACGGCACCTACATCCACTGCCGCGGTCAGGGGCCGCACTGCGAGGACTTCGAAAACCGCAAAGGCTTCTTCTCGATCATCTGCCAGCTTATGTGTGATAGCATGGGACTTATTTGGGACTTCTTTGTTGGTTATCCCGGGAGCGTCAACGACGCACGTGTTTTCATAAACAGCCCCGCAAGAGTGAAAATTGAGGAAGGTGGTTTTTTGGACTTCACACTAGTAGCAGACGCAGCCTACGGCCTTACAAACTACATTTACACCCCCTACCGTGCCCTGCCTGGACGCTCGCTGCCTGACGAGCAGCGGGTGTGGAATCTTCAGCAATCTCGCACGCGGATGATTGTTGAACAGATCAATGGGAGGCTCAAGACCCGTTGGCGCATTCTCGACGAGCGACTCGAATATGATGTGTTCCGCGCCCCTCAAGTCGTCTCCGCCTGCATCGCACTTCACAACATCGACCTCGTCCTCGGTTTCCGTCCCTGCCTGTCCGAACCCCGTGAGCGCAACACATGGTGGCTGGAAGGACCCGTGGCTGACGCGCCGCACATCTCGCCCCGTGATTACGGCTTCACTCCGACACGTCGTCGCACTCTCGCTTGGTGGCGTACTTCTACGCCTCTTGGAGGCTCGGACATCCTGATGAGCGTCAACCATCGCTTGGGTACGCTCGAGGAACTCGTCGAACTGATCTTTTATCGCGCCTTTCACGGACTGCATAATAATTTCGGCAATTTCTGCACACAGCACAGAGTCGTTTGAATTAAGCAGATTGCTAACACCTCCCTCCTCTGTGTCTGATCCCAAAATCCCGTCAACGGCAGCCGCAGGCCTAGGCCGACGGGAGACGCCGCGGCCACGGAGCGCAACACCCGCATGCGCGCCGATGACGTCTGATTCGTTCGGCGAAGCTGTCGATGCGGAACCAGCAGGAAGTCCCGACGGCGCAGGGGAGCTTGTGGCCGGGGTAGACATGGACCGGCGCGAGTGATCCGGCGAGGCGGATAAGCGCCGAGCCGTTTGCGTACGACCAGGAGACGCCGCAGGGCCATCGAGCAGCGACGTTCCCGCCATGGCGGGAGTAGGAGATGCCACACCTGGGGTTGGTGGGCGTCGCATAGGGGTTAACAGCGGACTCGTTTGTTTACCGGTACTGCCTTGTTTTCTTCAAGCATGCGTGGTTGTACTCGTGTGAGCAATGAGACTCTTTAAAAACGGGAAACACAAGTAAATGTAATTTTTTTTAAGTGTGTAACACTTTTCAAAATTGTGTATTGTGAATAGCGAAGCGAATTGTACCGAAGCAAAGGCTTCGGCGAAACGCTAATTCCCCTCTTTTTCGGTATAAAAGAGGGGGCGAAGGCCATTTGGCCTTCACCCACGTTTTCATTTCGAACTTTCAATTTCAAGTTTCGAGATTTTCTTCGTCCAAGCTGGCGAGGACCAAGACTCTGCCTCGCTTCACCTCTCCGTCGACGCTTCTCTCCGACATTCTCGATCGGAACTTAGCAACGATGGCGCCGGCGAGCAACAATACCCCCGGGGCTAAGGAGTCGCCTGCTCGTCAATCGACAGGACTTGAAAAAACGCCTCGAGAAAACGCCGCTGAAAAAAGAAAGCGCCCTGCCGAGAATCACGCCGAAGCGACCCACACGGGGGTCGACGTGTTGCTCGGTGAGGGCGGAACAGTCGCGCGACCGTCCCAGCCACGCGCGACCCACACGCAGGCTCATGGGCCTGCAGGCGGCGACAATGATGGCGATTTCGTCGCCATCCCTGCCGCCGCCACTGCAGATCCGAGCGGATCTCCCGCCCCCCCGAAACGCAGGGCGACAGATTCGGCCGCGTCAGACGGGGCGGGCGCGAATCTTTCGCCCCCGCAACTTGCGGCACTGCTGGCGCTCCTCCAGAAGCAGGTCTCGACTCCTGCAAAAGCGCCTACAGCAACAAATGAAGAAGAAATTTCTGCATCTGCTAAGACTGCAAACGTGCGCAACAACATTTCTACCTCCGCACGTGTCGCCGCACCCACCCGCGCCGACAAAGGAAAGGCGCCTGCCGTCGAAGACGAACCGGCTGCCCCTGCTGACATCGACTCCGACTCTGACACTGACGAGGGTGAGGAGCCAAACAACCTCATTCCGAATTTGCCTAACGATCTTCTTCCCCCTCTCCCCTCTTCTCATCCCTCGACCGCGGCCGCTGCCTTCAACCGCAAAGGCGTCCGCGACCAAGCTGAGGTCTTCGAAGTGCTCCAGATTTACTTGGCGCACGTGGACCACAAAATCCGCGGCGGTGACACTACCGGCGCGCTCAAGACCGTCGCCCAAGCCCAAGAACTTATCAAGCGTCGTTTCGACGTGTTGGTTGTCGCCGACCACGCCGGCTTCGACGTAGCTGAGCGCTACCAATTGCTGAAGACTACAGCAGTGCTTACCTCGCGCTCCTTCAAGATGGCAGTGGCGGACATGGCGGCGCTCAAGCGTGTGAAGACCGGCCTCCCTCGCGGAAGCCGCTCTTTCTCCCGCGAATCCGTCGCCTTCATGCCGAAGGGCATGGGAGGAGGAACCGGCTGCCGCGGCTTCAAGGGCACCTGCTTCCGCTGCGGCCAGCAGGAACACATGGCCAGCGCGTGTCCCCATGGAGTCCATGGGGTAATGGGCCCGCACCGGTGGTGTGAGCGAAGCCCGAATGTCCCTTGTCACCTCTCCTCCCTCTTTGCTCCAAGGTGACCCCCGCCTTGATTGCCTTTGGGAAAGGAGTTGGTGAAAGGGTAGGGCAGGACCAGGGGGTCCTTGAATGGGCTGTTTAGCCTTGGCTAGATGCAAGGATTGCTCTAGGCCTTTGAGTGTGTGTGTGTGTGTGTGGTGTGCGCGTGTGCGTGTGTGCATTCACGCTTGAGCCCGAGGGGCCTTAATTTGTAATACTATATTGGAATTATACTTTAGGCTGCTGGCCTTGTGGTACACGGTCCCTATCAAGCCATGACATGGTTAAAAAAAAAAAGAGAGAGAGAGAGAGAGAGAGAGAGAGAGAGAAGGAAAGAGAGAGAGGGAGAGAGAGGAGAGGGAAGGGACTTGACTACACTTCGAACACCAATGGTGCGAAGGTTATTGGTTACGCCTCGAGTGAGGGAACGAGAACCAAGGGCATCCTAATGTGGAGAGTTCCGCAAGGAGAAAACTCAAATATGCGGGAGGGAGAAAGAGAGAAGGAGAGAAGAGAGGGCAAGATGTGACATCGCCCGTATAGCCTCTCGTGACCGTTAAAAAAAAAAAAAAAAAAAAAAAAAAAAAAAAAAAAAAAAAAAAAAAAAAAAAAAAAGGGGGGGGGGGGGGGGGGGGGGGGGGGGGGGGGGGGGGGGGCCAAGCGGTGAAGAGGAGGGTGAGCCTCTGCAATTCATAGCCCCGAGCACGCAGGTCAAAAAAAAAAAAAAAACAAGGGAGAGGGAGAAGGGAGCGAACACGAACGAGGGCGAGACACCAAGCCTAACAAGAGGGTGAGGTTATTGGTCGAGCATTATCGTGCGCATCACGACTCACATGGGAATGCAAGCAGGTCGTTCTCATGCCCACCCGTTCATGCGCATCCTTGTGGACGTGCACAAGCATGTACGAAGCCGTTTGGGTATTGAGCATACACAAGTCGTCCCACGATGCCAACTAGACTGGTACTCTCATTTTTCTTTTCTCGATCACAATGCGTATCTTGTGGCTCGAACCCAAGGATTGACGCGCCAATTCTGTTGCCCCAAACTTACCGCCACTGCAGGCGCCTACCCTTCACGACCGGGTGAATGGAGTAAACCCATGGAGCACGCGATCACCGACAAGGAAGTCACCACCATGGGGGGTCGACTGCGCCAAGCGTTCGCTTGGTGGGCCTCATGGTGCGAGAGCAGCCTCATCCTGTCGGTCATTTCCAACGGATACTGGCTCCCTTGGAAAGCGTTGCCACCACCTTCATTTCGCGACAAGAATCACGCCGGTGTCGAGCGACACAACGAGTTCACACGTTCAGCAATCTCTGACCTGCTCTCATCTGGTACAGCAGCAGTTGCAGCTGGCCTAACCGCAGTGGCATGCACTAGTCCACTCAACGTCGTGGAGCAACGCGACAAGTGTCGCCTCATCCTGGACTTGAGGAAAGTCAATCAGTACCTCGTCATCCCCAAATTCAAGTACGAAGGCTTGGTCCGAGTCGCCGAATTGGCGCAACCGGGCGACTGGATGTTCTCAATCGACCTGAAGTCTGGATACCATCACGTCGATATCCACCCGTCATGCTGGAAGTTCATCGGTTTTCATTTCGACGGCACGGATTACTACTTCAAGTCGTTACCGTTCGGTCTCGCAACAACACCCTTCCTGTTCACCCAGTTGATCAAACAACTGGCTCGAAGATGGCGAGCGCAAGGCACCCGAGTCATTCCATATGTGGACGATATCTTATTCCTCTGCAGTTCGGAGGAGGACGCATGCGCGACTCGTGATGCAATCATTCGTGACCTACGACAGTCGGGCCTTGTCATCAATGCCAAAAAGTCGCACCTTACCCCGACCCAGAAACTGCAATTTCTTGGGATGGAGTTGGACACCCAATCTGGGAGATTTACCATCGGCCCCGAACGTCGGACTCAACTCATGCACACGCTCCAGGTGCTTATATCTGCTTACGAGCGACGACAACGGATACCAATCCGCCTTGTCGCACGGGTTACCGGCATTCTCGCTTCCATGGCGCTAGCCCTTGGCACAACGGCACGCGCATTCAGTCACCAACTCCTAGAGCTCATCAATGCAGCAACGTCATGGAATGCCAGGACACACCTAACCCTGGAGGCTCGGGACGAGCTCAAATTCTGGCTAGAGAACTTTGATCGTTTCAACGGGGCGCCATTTCACATGACCCACAGCATCGACACGGTGATTCATGTCGACGCAAGTGCTCACAGTTGGGGTGCGACCCTAGCTTCCTTCCCAGGTGAAAACATACAAGGCAGCAGCCCTATGCCACACGAGCTCCTCTCCACTTCAAGCACACGCCGTGAACTCGAAGGTGTGCTCTGGGCTCTGAGTGCATTCTCAAGTCAAATCCAAGGCCGCCATGTGCTCATGCGCGTCGACAACCAGGGCGTATTCTTCATTCTTCGAAAAGGCGGTTCCGGGCAACCCGAACTCACCCTTTTGTGCAAATCCATCATCGCACACTGCATGGTGAATGAAATCAGGTTGGCAATCGAATGGATTCCCCGAGCTCTCAACGCGGATGCGGACGCTCTCTCTAAGTTAGAAGACAACGACGACTATTCCTTGAAACTCCCCTGGTTCCGGCTGCTGGAGAGGCGCTGGGGTCCATATACCATCGACCTTTTTGCAAATGCCAGTAACGCGCAACTCTCGCGTTTCTTTTCAAAGGTTCCCCATCCACGCGCAATGGCCGTCAATGCCTTCTCCCAGAACTGGGGGGCAGAACACGGTTTTGCATTCCCCCCACCATACTTGGTTCCCGCCACCCTGCGCCATGCCGCGTGCACGTCTGCCACGCTGACATTGGTCATTCCTGAATGGACAGGAGCATCATGGTGGCCCCTGATCCGGCCTTTCCCTAGGACCTGGGCACCTGGCATATCATCATGTCTTCATCTTGCTAGCGGTAGCCAGTGTCTGCATGTGGGTTCGCATATTAGCGCATTCTCAGGAGTTGGTCTCCCGGTTAGTAGAATCCTTGCACTACAACTTAACTTCCATCATTAATGTACCGCCGATCTTTTCTTGATGATGACAGATATGATTCCGAAGCTGCATCAACAGCTACTTTTAATGACAGCCCAAACACGGTCCGTCTCAACAATCAACACATACGAACCTTATTGGGCGAAGTTCAGGAGTTTTTGTGTTAAGGCAAAAGTGGCATTTCTGCCTGCCGCAGACCTAACAGTTGCACTCTACCTGGTACATGCGATCAACCACAAGGCCACCGTCTCTAGCG